ATCAATCGAACTCCACTGCACTAGTCTCTCTCTCTCTCTCTCTCTCTCTCTCTCTCTCTCTCTCTCTCTCCTTCATTGTGCAACTCATGTTAGATGCAATCCATGTGATTTGCAGATATTCAACCATTTGTGACACTTTTCCATTGGGATCTGCCACAAGCTCTAGAAGATGCCTATGGAGGATTCTTGAGTCCCCATATAGTGTAAACCTCTCTCTCCTTTAACTTCGTTATATCTTTTTTCTCAACAGATAGGCAGTTTATAACTCATACTTCATAAATCATTATTTTAATTATTAATAAATAAAATAAATTATCGTATTTCTGTTAAAAAGTTGGTTCTTTGTAATACTTTTCAGATATCGCCTATTAAACGGCTCTACCCTCACATACCAGCCACTGCTCTGTTATTCCTGTTCTGGCCCTTGGTCTTTTGAGCCTTGATATGCAGATATTAAAAAAAAAATTTAATTTTCTTTAAAGTATTGCTTAGAAACATTTGTCATATAATTCCTCCATCATTTCCTGCTTTAATACGAAAATTAGTTTATCATTTCAATCATTTTTTAATACAATTAGTATATTCAATTATCTTCTAATGAAAACATTTTATTTAGGGACAAAAACTTTATTCACAATACAATACAAACACAGCTATAATTTATGATATATCTCTCTTTATTAAGTAGAAGTGTGATTTTTACATCTACCATTTTTATCATCATCATCATTCGAGCTGTATCTCAACTATTTGGATCCAGTTACATGAATCATGTTCTGCCAATCAAGATTCATAAAAAGTTATGATATAGTTTTGCACTAGCTACCCACCTAACACAACCCTTCTCCTTTAATCGAGCTCAGAACCAGCACGACCGGCATGGGGCCGGCCAGGTGGAGTTTGGCATGTTCTTAAAGAAGTTATAAAAATATCTACTTTTTGGACCCTACCGTGCTTTTGTTAAGTTGATTAATACTTTTTTGAGGAGCATCTATTGTAGCCAACTGCCATTCGCATGATAAAGCCCTTTTTAATTTGTTTTCAGTCTCACTTCTCAATACAATCAATATTAACTATTTACTATTATGATTTTGTTCATGAATTTTTTATCAGGGCAAATTCCCTCCGTGATTATAATAAGATTATGTGATCTAAACAGGGAAGACTACACAAACTATGTTGACATTTGCTTTAGAGAATTTGGAGACAGAGTGAAACATTGGATTACATTAAATGAACCATTCTCTTATGCATATGGAGGTTATGTGGCTGGATTTTTCGCACCTGGCCGTTGTTCGTACCCTGACGGAAACTGTACCGCAGGAAATTCTAGTACAGAGCCATATGTTGTTGCCCATAACCTTCTCCTTTCACATGCATCAGTAGTGAAGTTGTACAAGGAGAAATATCAAGTAAGGTCCAACATCTGTTTTAGAAATGTTTGTGTTTATATATTACACACACTATCGGCTCATATTAGTTTTGGGACAGGTTTCTATACTTCCTCTACAATATAGAAGAATTATGCTTCCCCTACCATCCAGCCGTCAAATTTTGTTCAAGAGAGCCACTCACCGTTTAATCTTAGATCCCTTGTCTCAAATTATTTTATTTTTAGTTTTTTTTTTATACAAATTGTATGAAAATGAAATTTGGTATGTTCCATCTTCTCATTGGGGTCCACCTGTAAAAAATATTAAAAATAATTTTTTGATAAAATATAATGACCAAAATACCCTTTGAAACTTTCAGGGGTATTTTGGTTATTTTATTTTATTGGAAATAATTTTTTTTATATTTTCGCAAGTGCGAGTTTAATAGAGAATTGGTCGTCCAAAATTTGGTGTCAAAATAGTTTATTGAAAAAATATTAAAAATAAAATATTGTAGAGACATGACATTGTGATCGGGGGCAATCTTAGCCCTCCATTCAGAATGGACGGTTGGATAACAGGAAGTATATAAGTTTTACTGTAGGGGAAGCATAGAAAGCTTGCCCATCAGTTTTCCCTATAAAAAACAAACAAGTAAGAAAAAAAAGACAATAGAAAATTGAAGGGAATTAAATTAGGTTTTTTCCCGTCAAAAATAAATAAATAAAAGAAATTGCTGCCAGCATATCAAATTTATTGAAAGTCCAGAATGAATATTTAGGCATCCATTTCTAACCTTTATAAAAAGGGAATGAGGTTCTTGTTCGACTTTCTTTGACTTTCAATCCAATGGGATTGTTTAGTTATTCAATTTTAAATTTGAACCAGGGCCTATTCGAATTGTAAATAATTTTATCTCGAATAGACTATCTTATTTAAAATCAATATATTCTAGATAATATTATCTTGTAAGTATTTTAGTACATCTCTTGTATTGTTTAATATTGCTCAAATAATTAAAAATTTTAAACTCTTCACGTACTTTTACGTATTTCTGCCCAAGCACCATGTGACTTTCTGTAAAAGGTGCAGTTTGTATAAAGCCGAGGCTCTAAATAATCAAAGTAAAGCGCAACGTTAAATAGTATCGAGAGATAAGGTTTCAATACTGAAAATCGTTGTGTTAGCCTTAAAATATATTTTCATATTTAATTATAACATTTCAAACTTGAAAAATAGTGTATATCAAGCAGATCTATAAAAACTTTAAAATCTTGAAATTGACAGTCCAAAAATACATTACAAAATGCACTATTTTCAAAAGTTGACATCCATCGTTTCGAATATTCATGCATCTTGAGATCGAGATGATCAATTTGAGGATAGTTGGGCATCAAAACAACCTCTTCTAGTGAAATATTGAGGTGGGCTCTAATTTAATTGTTTAGAGCCTCGGCTCTATAAAAGCTTTTTCTTTCAGTAAATTACCATGAATAAAGTAAAAACAAGTTTTCAAAAGATAAACTTATACATAAAGCTATCAATAAGTCTATATCAGATAACGTTAGGAAATGTATAAAATAAGACTATTTTCCTTACGTGTATGGAAGTAACAATCCCTTCTAACTGTGATATTGATGTAGGATAACATGAAGAAACCAAGAAAAATCAGCAAGAAGCACACAATTTTGAAGAAACCCTAGGGTTTTCTCCCACCTAGGGCTCAAGCCTTAGGCTTGTTTTACAAGACAAAGTGTTTCTTTTCTTAAAGAGGGATACATGAATCACTCTCCCGCCCATCCATGCCCTTATATATCTTAAAAATTATTGTTTTGGAAAATATTTGTTTGTACAATTTAACTTTTAGTGAAAATGTCCTAACTTAAATATAACTTGAAACTAAACTCCCTAATTACAATTAAAATATCTAAAAAGTCTCTATTTGGTTCAGCAATGAAATAAGTAAATAAAATCTAAGATAGCCTTAAAAACTAAAAACTAAAAACAAAAAAGCCAAAACTATTTCCTTCTCTTCTTGTTCTTCTTGGAAGCCCTCCTAGGGTTTTCATCCTCCAAATATGAGCAAAAATTAGGAAGAATCTGTCACTCCAAAAGAAGATACTCGTGGCTACTTGTTGTGCTCTGATCTCCATCATTATCCCCAGGTTGGGGAGAACTCGCGCTCGAGTTCACATCTTCAGCTTCATGAACCTCCATACCATGATACTCTGACAGATAGCAATGTTGAGGATGTCAGAAGTTTCCATGTGTGAAGGTAAAGCGACCTTAAAAGCATTGCAGCCCGTCTTCTTCAAATTCTTGAATGGTCCCACCTTGCGATCATTTAGCTTGCTGTATTTTCCCACTGGAAGTCGTTCTTTCCTGAGATACACCATTACCTAGTCTCCCACATTAAACTACTTGAAACGACAATGCTTGTCTGTTGCTTTCTTGTATTTGGCTGTATTGGCTTCTAGACTAGCATGCACTTGTTTCTACACTCCTTTCATTTGTTCAACCAAGTCCTCCCCATTGGTCTGGACAGGAACCAAGTCAAGTGAATGAGTAGAGTTTTTCTTATATACCTCTTCGAAAGGACTCTTACTAGTAGATCTACTGCAAACACTATTATAGGCAAACTCAGCTTAAGGCAGTGCTAGGTCCCACTGTTTCTTCTTTTCCCTCACAATACTTCTCAAAAGATTGCCACCTCTTTGAAGTACAAGTTAGCAACATGTGTGGCATCCAGAGTCTTCTTACAAGGTATAAAATAAGCCATCTTTGAGAATCTATCCACTACCACAAATATAGAATCCATAGCCCTTTGAGTTCTTGGAAGTTCCAGAATAAAATCAATACTAACATCCTCCCAAGGTGCATTAGGAATAGGAAGTGGAGAATAAAGCCTGGTATTTTGTCGTTGCCGCTTAGCCAGTTGACATGTATAACACCTCTCAACAAATCGCATAACATCTCTCTTCAATTTTGGCTAATAGTACTTAGACTCCACCAATATTATGGTTTTGTCTCGACCAAATTGTCGACCAAGACCTCCCCCATGACGCTCTGCTATTAGGGTTTCTCTAAGGGAATCTGCAAGAATGCAAAGACAGTTTCCTTTGAAGAGAAATCCATCTTGAGTAAGAAAATCCCCAACAACTCCACTGGAATATTGGTCTCATATCTCCCTAAAGTCATCATCATCTTTATAAAAATCCTTCATAAAATTGAACCCAGTAATAGCAGTTGCCATGATAGTTAATAGAGTTGACCTTCTACTCAAAGCATTTGCCACTCTGCTCTGACTGCTTGCCTTATGCCAAATAAAAAAAGTAAATTCTTGCAAATAGGCTACCCATCTAACATGCCGCTCATTTAGTTTATGTTTCCCATTAATATACTTCACTGCTTAATGATCTAAGAACAAAATAAATTCCTTTTGAATCAGATAATGCCGCTAATGCCTTAAGGCTTGAATAATAGCATAAAACTTCTGGTCATAAGTAGAATAGCATCGATGGGTGTTATTCAACATCTCACTAAAGAAGGCAATGGGGCAACTTTCTTGGCTCGACACTACACGAATTCCAACATGTGAAGCATCACATTCCAACCCGAAGACTTTATCAAAGTCTAGAAGAGCTAACATGGGTACTTCAGTCATCTTCTGTTTCACCAACTAAAAACTTTCCTCAGCTTTAGCAATCCATACAAATTCCCTTTTCTTCAGTCATCTTCTGCTTCACCAATTGAAAACATTCCTCGGCTTCAGCAGTCCATACGAATCCCCCCTTCTTCAGACAATCTGTGATAGGTGCTATAATTGAACTGAAACCTCTGATAAACCTCCTGTAGAAAGTAGCCAACCCATGAAAACTGTGAACATCATGCACTGTAGTAGGAGTAAGGCAATCCCTGACAATTTCTACCTCCTTTGGTCAACCTTGATTCCCTCAACTGAAAGAGCATAGTCAAGAAAGATAAGGCTATCTGTCACGAGTTCACACGTTTTACGATTCAAATACAATTGTTATTCCCGTAACATGTCAAACATCAACCGTAAGTGCTCCATATACTCCTGCTCATTAATGTTGTACACTAGAATATCATTAAAGTATGGAAAATGTTTATATAGAACCGAGGCTCTAAACAATCAAATTTGAGACCGCCTCAAAACTTTCACTAGAAAATGTTGTTTTGATGCCCAAATATTCTCAATTGATCATCTCGATATCAAGATGCATGGTCATGAGAAAAAAATGGATTTCAAGTTTTGAAAATAGTGCATTCTGTAATGCATTTTTGGACCGTCAATTTTCAAGATTTTCAAGTTCTCATAGATATGCGTGATCTAGATTATTTTTTAAGATTTAAATTTTATAATTAAAGATGAAAATATATTTTATATCTTTCACAAAGATTTCTAGGATTGAAACGACATTTCTTGACACTATTTGAAGGTAGGCTCTAATTTGATTGTTTAGAGCCTAGGCTCTATACAAACCGCACCCTTAAAGTATACCACCACGAATTTTCCAATAAAAGGCTTGAACACTTGATTAATCACCCTCATAAAAGTACTGAGCACATTGGAGAGGCCAAATGATATCACCAATCATTCATAACGGCCCTCTCGTGTTTCAAATGCAGTCTTCCACTCATCTTCAGGTCGAATACGGATCTAATGGTACCCACTCCTCAAGTCTATCTTAGAAAACATAGTAGCACTAGCCAACCTATCTAACATATCATCAAGGTGAGGAATTGGGAAGCGGTACTTGATTGTGATATTGTTAATGGCTCTATTATCCATACACATACGCCGTCCCATCCTTTTTTGGAGTCAACAAGGTCGAGACAGCACAAGGGCTCATGGTCTCTCGTATGAACCCCTTCTATAGAAGCCCTATGACATATCTCTACAACTCATCATACTCCTTTGGGCTCATTATATATGCAGCCTTGTTTGGTAGGCTAGACCTAAGAACGAGGTCTATGTAATGTTAAATGTCCCTCATAGGTGGTAAACCCTCTGGTAG